TAAAGGGGATTCAAGTTTGTTCAAATGAAGGGCCACGCCTTCTTCCAAGGGGAGATAATTAAGAATTCGTGAAAAATTAATTGCATCATTAAAAAATCTTCTTCTCAAGAACCACTGTGCTTGAAAATATGAAACTTATGTGGAAGCATCCTCAGGTAGTGTAGATTCAAGTTTGTTCAAATCATGACCCCCGGGGGTCGGGTGGGGCCACAATGGGCGATCAAAGTTTTACATAGGAATATATAGGAAAAATCTTTAAAATCTTCTTCTCAAGAACAGCAAAGCCATGATTGGTCATATTTATATGGTAGCATCCTCAGATAGTATAGATTCAAGTTTGTTCAAATCATGACCCCCGGGGGTCGGGTGGGGCCACAATGGGCGATCAAAGTTTTACATAGGAATATATAGGAAAAATCTTTAAAAATCTTCTTCTCAAGAACAGCAAAGCCATGATTGGTCGTATTTAATTGGAAGCATCCTCAGATAATGTAGATTCAAATTTGTTCTTTTTATGACACCCCCCTCCCCCCGAACCACTTTTTTATTCAAACTTTTCAACCTTTCAAGACTGAACTGATTTCTGCTTTTTCCTAGCCATAGTGCTCAGGTGAGCAATGTGGCCCCTGGGCCTCTTGTTTTTCCTAGTGTAGGATGGAATTCTCCCTAAATTACTAATAGATCTAAAATTATACCATAGTCTCTTCCATTTCATAATGTGTACTTTTCAGCGATCTTAATGCCTGGTGAACGCCTTTCCGGTGCCATCAGATTTAAAATCAACCCCCCATCGAGGTCACACTTTCATGATTAATTTTATAATTAGCTGAAGTTTGATGAGTGTTAAAGAAGGCATGTGCATGAGGTACCCTAATAAAGAGTAGATTATGTTTACTGAGCAATATTTATGGCCGTCATCTTTATAGATTAATTAAAACTGAAACCAAAATCGGCTGAGCGAAAGGTTACTATAGTTTAAAATCATATTTTTATTATGTAAAATAATGTTCATATGTCGGTAAAAGGAAGAAAAGGCTATACTTTGTATGCTTTGATTTAAGTATAAAACCTAAGACTACAAAGTTCATATAAGTACAAAACAATTTACTTTGATTCCCAGCAAGATGTCTTAGTCACAAATAGTAACAATAAAAGATCAGGCTCCTATGAACAATTTTTTTTCTTACCTGTAACATGATCTGACATCTTTAGTGTACTTTAATGGTCTTATTGTGTTTGTATTGTGAGACTTTGGCTTGATATGTACATGTATTCTACAACTTGATAGAGACCATATCTAAGAATATGCTATTCCACTGTTGTGTGTAAGATTCATAGTTCGGTCATTTAGATTCTTACATGTAACACAACTTTGTGAACTTGTCGTTTGATACAGTGTGATTACATGTATTTGTGATTTGCTTAATGAATGAGATTTGAGTCTGTGTGTGGTGGTGGTTTAAGGGGGCACTCTCTTTAAAAAAAGATCGAAAATATTTTTGAAACAAAAATAACTGCTTAAACTAATACCACCAGGTTTTGATTCGGAATAATGACTTTCAGAATGCGTCAGAACCCACCAAAATGATATATATCCATTTATTGGGGAAAATCTATCTTAGGAGCAGGGGTACCACTCCCATACCCACCCTACACCCCCTTTCCAGGCACTTGGACAAGTTGGCGTCGGTCCGATTGAAATATTTCTTTAATTTTGGGGGCAATAACTAAACCAGTCATTTCCACGGTGGAAAACTTCAACGCTCAATATAATGACTTTGGAAAGATTTTCCATAAAGTATCCATCGTGGATTTGGCGTTAATTCACAATCATTGTTCGTCAACCAAAATAGAACATAACATTTTAAAGAAGGAAAATATCAAATATTGCTTCTAAAGCAATTGTAGGGGAAAGGGATCTTTATCAAGTTTTCTATGTACCATAAACAGATTTTTAACATAGATATTTGCATCTAAAAGCCCACTAAACACAAAACTGCATGGGCGTATCTTGTCTCCAGGTATTACCTTCATTTTGAAAGCTTTTGTCGTGATTTATCGCTACATCTCTAAAACAATAAGAAACAATCTTGTGCAGTGTTACAGTGGAACAGGTATTAGCGGATTCCCTGCCTCCATTATAGAGCTTAAAATATACGAAGATCAAAGTAGCTTTAATAATTTTCTCCTAACACAGGTGTTTCAATTAGCATAATTGCCGAAAGAAAGCACGATTACAAACATTTTTACTTGTCTATCCTGAAGAAGAAAAGATAAAGAAAAAAGATTTATGATCTTGCCTATTTCTTACGGCACTTTTTACGCTTTCAATATATTTTCGGAATCAATGGCTGCTCAAAGAAAGACAACTAAGAAAAATGAAGAGCTCCTCTAACCGTTTTGAATGATGTTGAAATTAATAGAGACAGAATAATATCCTCAACACTTCGTGAAATATATTTATTTTAGATATTGCTTAAATTACATCTCAGGCCCGTAGCAAAAATGGGGAGGGGCAACTTCCCCCCAAAAAATCTGACGGAGAAAAAAGAAGTTAATTTACTGTCCAAATCCTGGAATTTGCCAGTACTCGACCTTATAAAGTAAAAAAGTGGGGGGGGGGGCAACTAAAAAGAAAAGAAAATTTACTATAGCAAAATACTATACTCAGAAAAAGTAGGGGGTGGCCTCTCCCCTGCCCCCTCCCCCCGCGTTCTACCGGCCTGTATCTTCCTTTATCAAATATGATACCATTGTCACATTGGTTGATTGATTGGTTGTATGTTGTTTTACGCCCCGTTCGAGAATTTTTCACTCATATAGAAAGGTCACCATATATCGGTGAAGGGCTTCAAATTTAGAACTTTACTCGGTACTCAGGGCCATTGAGCAGTGGGGGTTCTTTATTGTGCCAACGCCTACTGTGACACGGGGCCTCGGTTTTCAAGGATCCGCAACTTTCACTTCAAATTGCCGAGCGCTTGGCGAAGGAACAGTTGTTACCTATTTGGTCAGAAGCGGCCGTGATTCGAACACAAGCTTCCGATCACGGAGCGAGCGCTCTACCTAACTGAGCTACCGTGACGGCTTGTCGCATTGGAAATAAGGAAAAAAACCCTCACTTCATTATACATGAATTGGAAGAAACACGAGTAGTTTATCTTCAGTAGCACTACATATGATCTGTCAATGCCAGAGTGTCTTAATCCCTTCAGAAAAAAAGGTTCTTTAGTAATGTACCAAAAACAACATCAACTTGACTTGCTTGGCTTTGTTTAATTACGATTTAATCAGATTATAAACATTTACTCGAAAGATGAAGAGGTATATGTTTTACCGGGTACTTAGGCATTCATAATCAATCTAAGGTTCATTTTTCCTCTGGACAACTAAATAAAATTTTGCTTTTAATACTGATTTTCCAAACAAATCTAATTTATAGCTAAATTGCACATAATTTCAGCTTACATGTACCTTGCAGGGCAAAATTTGACAGAAATGTTTTTTTTTTTAATTTGACAATTTCATAAAGGAATAATAATAATGTACCCCAGTGAGAGTTACCTTTCTTATCAGTTGGTCAGTGAACCTAAATCTGTATGTATACGATACGTGTAAAAAGAATTTAGGTACGTATGAACTTGAAAGAAAGTGGTTACCTCTTTAAAAAAAAAAAAAAAGAACTCCTTTATTTGGAGTATACAATATTCACAAATTTATCTATTGCAGTAGAGAGATCTGTCAAAGGGCTAAGGGGAAATAATGGTAGAGATAACGAGTAACCTTTAGAAATATGCCTCAATATGTAATTTAAAGGATATGTGAACTAATACAACTGTATAAAGACTAAATAAAGACTAAATATCGAAAAACAAAAGGTGATACAACTTATGTAAAGATAAAGGAAGATTAATTAATTTTACTGGCTTACTGTTAAATAACAAATCAAAACAACTTTGTTAAGTCTTTGAGATTTTGTTTCAATTTATCTTAAAAGAAGTTACAATTGTTGTTTTTTGTAATTACAGTTAGTCTTGGAGTTATTAGCACGTACTTACTTTCTGCACTTTATGCTACATGCAATAGTTGAAACATCATTAATTACCTCAAGTGTTGTCATATGATTTTTAACGCTAAAAACTGTTTCTTTCACAAGAGTTCTAACAACAGGGGAAAAGTTCAAGAATAAATTTAACCAATAGTGACTGTTTTCAGTAAAAAATTGTGAAGATTTCATACTTTAATATAAACTCTTCCAGAAACAGGTCATGACAAACCCTTACAGCTGCCTTCCTTTTCTTTACAAGGATTGGATGTTCGTGCGCTAGGGAAAAAAATTCGATGGTTGTCCCAGAAAAACGCGAACATTTTAAATATTTCATAAACTTTCGGACCAAAATTATTCATTTTTAGCGCATTGTTGGGAAAATATATTTTCGCAATTTTGACAAAATACTATAAGGTTGTTATGTCATTTGCACATTTGCACGTGAAAACATCATTTAAAGGGTGTTATATATCGGTGGTTAGACCACCGTAATTTTTGGACTTTTAAAAACTGCATTGCCAGCAATGTTTTCTTTATTACCAGGTAAAATGTGAATATAATGAACAGTTATCAATCTCATAAATCAAGTAAACTAAAGGAATCGTGAACAGGGCAAAAAAACACGGACCCCTGGAAACACCAGAGGTGGGATCAGGTGTCTAGAAGGAGTAAGCATTCCCTGTTGACTTGTCACACCCGCCATGAGCCCTATGTATTGATCAGATATACGGAGTACTCCGTAGTCAAATTTAGTATAAAAGCAATGACCTATGTGTGTGTGTGTTTGTATTCTAACACACACAAAAAGCAATAAAAAATAAAGAAGAACGAAAGCCAAAACCAAAAAAATACCCCACTTGTCTTTAATGTAAATAAACAAATAAATAAAAAAAAGAATGGAAAAAACAGATCGTTCAACATAAAGCACTGGTTGTTGTTAAATTTAGAAAATTTAACAATCGGAAGGAATTGCATCATCGTCCTGTTTATTGCTCTCATGCTCCAAACTCTCTTTAGCTTGGGAGAAATTTTCCAAAATGACTGCAATATACATATTGATAAGTACAAGAAAAGTTACCACTAGGTAAGACACTAAATATATCACTCCCACTTTATAGTTTCCACAGTTATTTACGTGATCTGGACCTAGATCCTTCTCACAATCCTCTTCATTTGTAATTCCCGCTAAAACTCCGTCCCATCCAGCAGATGTACACATTTGAAACAACGTTATGACGCTTTGGAAGAATGTCTCAAAATTGAAAACATCGTCAATACCACCTGTGTGCTTAACATGCATAAATAAATTCATTCCGATCACTGCATAAATTGAAATTATAAGAAACAGCAACAGTGCAACATTGAACAGAGAAGGCAAAGATATAGCAAGCGTATACAACAATCCAGAAATTCCTTTTGTCAGTCTTAAAAGACGAAGGAGCCTAAAGACTTTGATGACACGGGCGACTCTTAATAGGGTGGGAGAAACGCCTAAGGTTTGGTTCACTTCAGTCACTGCTAAATCTGTAACGAAAAGGGAAATAACGTTTAGTTGTATAGATCGTATTGAAGAAGCCCATTTCAAAAATATTTTTATCGATGTAACGAATTGTTGAATTCATTTAAACGAATTAAATTTATTATATTTTTTGCAGGTTCATTATAACGAATTTAATCTGATAAAACGAATTTAATGAATTGGATTTAACGGATTCTAAAATTCGCTATATCGATTTAAATTTGAATTTAGGAATTTCAGAATTCATAATTTCAAATTGTTAAATTCATCTTTACAATTAATTCTGTAATATTTCTATCCAATTTGTGATAACAGAATACAAATCTTGTGAGAACTAATTCAATATATTCGATATACAGTTTAAACTTCTAAATATGTATATTTCATTGTAAATGACAAAAGCACGTATTCTTGTTAAATAGTTATAATCTTTTTTGAATGTCCTTTTACAAATTTACACAACTGTTTTTATATTTGAATTTCCAGTAGATAAAAATTCAAATAAACATAAATAAACTTCGCAATTAATATTGGTCCTTCATTGACTTTTTCATTTAAAAAAATTGTATACCTACCAATTATAGAGAGAACCACAAGAACAAAATCAAATACATTCCAAGGCATCTTAAAATAATGCTGTCGGAAGCCTAAAATTTTCATTAGAAACTCAATTAAGAAAATGATAACAAAGATTTGGTTAGAATAATCCAGTAGAGCTGTTATGTTGTCCGACTGGTCATAGTGTTCCAATGCCAGCATTATCATATTGAGCAAAATCACGATCAGAATTCCTATCTCAAACTTCTTGCTTTTTGTGATGTTGAACATAATTTTCATAACTTTGTTCTGTAAAATATGAAATAATTGTAGCTGGATGCTTAATTCAAACAAAAAAAAAAATTAACAAAAATCACCACTAATTAAATACGTATGATTTTTTAAAATAACTTTTTTGTTGGATAAACCCTCCTACATTCGGTGGACTGACGTTCTTGTCTGGAGCCTTTGTCTTTAATTTCTTTATGGTTTCATAGCGTTTTTTCTGACTCTCTGTCAAAAATTTTTCTGAATATCCCTCAGCCTGAAAACAAGAGGCCCATGGGCCACAGCGCTCACCTGAGTAACTTTGGCCTTGCTGTTTTTCACCTGATTTCTCCCCCCCCCCCCGGTAGTACTTATTGTGACCCCGCCCTATCCCCAGGGGTCATGATTTGAATAATTTAGAATCTACACTACCCCAGCATGCTTCCAGATACGTTTCAGCTTTTCTGGCCCAGTGGTTCTTGAGAAGAAGATTTTTAAAGATTTTTCCTATATATTTCAATGTAAAACTTGGATTCCCTATTGTGGCCCCGCCCTATCCCGGGGGGTCATGATTTGAACAATTTAGAATCTACACTACCCCAGTTTCAGCTTTTCTGGCCTAGTGGTTCTTGAGAAGAAGATTTTTAAAGATTTTTCCTATATATTTCAATGTAAAACTTGGATTCCCTATTGTGGCCCCGCCCTATCTCCAGGGATCATGATTTGGACAATTTAGAATCTACACTACCCCAGCATGCTTCCACATAAGTTTCAGCTTTTCTGGCCCAGTGGTTCTTGAGAAGAAGATTTTTAAAGATTTTTCCTATATATTTCAATGTAAACCTTGGATTCCCTATTGTGGCCCCGCCCTACCCCCGGGGGTCATGATTTGAACAATTTAGAATCTACACTACCCCAGCATGCTTCCAGATAAGTTTCAGCTTTTCTGGCCCAGTAGTTCTTGAGAGGAAGATTTTTAAAGATTTTTCCTATCTATTTCAATGTAAAACTTGGATTCCCTATTGTGGCCCCGCCCTACCACCGGGGGTCATGATTTTAACAATTTAGAATCTACACTACCCCAGCATGCTTCCACATAAGTTTCAGCTTATCTGGCCCAGTGGTTCTTGAGAAGAAGATTTTTAAAGATTTTTCCTATATATTTCAATGTAAAACTTGGATTCCCTATTGTGGCCCCGCCCTATCCCCGGCGGTCATGATTTGAACAATTTAGAATCTACACTACCCCAGCATGCTTCCACATAAGTTTCAGCTTTTCTGGCCTAGTGGTTCTTGAGAAGAAGATTTTTAAAGATTTTTCCAATATATTTCAATGTAAAACTTGGATTCCCTATTGTGGCCCCGCCCTATCCCGGGGGGTCATGATTTTAACAATTTAGAATCTACACTACCCCAGCATGCTTCCACATAAGTTTCAGCTTTTCTGGCCCAGTGGTTCTTAAGAAGAAGATTTTTAAAGATTTTTCCTATCTATTTCAATGTAAAACTTGGATTCCCTATTGTGGCCCCGCCCTACCACCGGGGGTCATGATTTTAACAATTTAGAATCTACACTACCCCAGCATGCTTCCACATAAGTTTCAGCTTATCTGGCCCAGTGGTTCTTGAGAAGAAGATTTTTAAAGATTTTTCCTATATATTTCAATGTAAAACTTGGATTCCCTATTGTGGCCCCGCCCTATCCCCGGGGGTCATGATTTGAACAATTTAGAATCTACACTACCCCAGCATGCTTCCACATAAGTTTCAGCTTTTCTGGCCCAGTGGTTCTTGAGAAGAAGATTTTTAAAGATTTTTCCAATATATTTCAATGTAAAACTTGGATTCCCTATTGTGGCCCCGCCCTATCCCGGGGGGTCATGATTTTAACAATTTAGAATCTACACTACCCCAGCATGCTTTCACATAAGTTTCAGCTTTTCTGGCCCAGTGGTTCTTAAGAAGAAGATTTTTACAGATTTTTCCTATATATTTCAATGTAAAACTTGGATTCCCTATTGTGGCCCCGCCCTACCCCCGGGGGTCATGATTTGAACAATTTAGAATCTACACTACCCCAGCATGCTTCCACATAAGTTTCAGCTTTTCTGGCCCAGTAGTTCTTGAGAAGAAGATTTTTAAAGATTTTTCCTATCTATTTCAATGTAAAACTTGGATTCCCTATTGTGGCCCCGCCCTACCACCGGGGGTCATGATTTTAACAATTTAGAATCTACACTACCCCAGCATGCTTCCACATAAGTTTCAGCTTATCTGGCCCAGTGGTTCTTGAGAAGAAGATTTTTAAAGATTTTTCCAATATATTTCAATGTAAAACTTGGATTCCCTATTGTGGCCCCGCCCTATCCCGGGGGGTCATGATTTGAACAATTTAGAATCTACACTACCTTAGGATGCTTCCAGATAAGTTTCAGCTTTCCTGGCCCAGTGGTTCTTGAGAAGAAGATTTTTTAATGATCCCACCCAATTTTTGTATTTTCTTTATTATCTCCCCTTTGAAGGGGACTTGGCCCTTCATTTTAACAATTTAAACTCCCCTTTACCCAAGGATGCTTTGTACCAAGTTTGGTCAAAATTGGCCCAGTGGTTCTTGAGAAGAAGTCAAAAATGTGAAAAGTTTACAGACGGACGGACAGACAGACAGACAGACGGACAGACGGACGGACGGACGGACGGACGACGGACAAAATGTGATCAGAAAAGCTCACTTGAGCCTTCGGCTCAGGTGAGCTAAAAATTAATCTTCTGTAATCAATGATAACATTATTTAAAAATATTAACCAAACAGTAATTGTTAGTTATTTACCACACTGGAAAAAATGCATGAAAGGTCTTGAGTTCACATTTAATAGAACCATAAGCTACTAGTAAATTAAGCATACTAGTATTTTGACACCCCCCCCCCCCCAATAAATGTATTGGTGGTTATATCCTACTCAGATCGTTTTGAAGAAAATTCATTGTTTTGAACACGTTCTGATGGATGAGCGATGTCAATTGCACTGGGAGTTACATGTTGCTGGTGCTATTGTTTATTGACAAGAATGAAAGCTTTTACAGGAAATAAAAAAATACTGCATGTTTGAAATGGATTGTACGGAACTTTTTCTGCAGAAATCGGGTCAGCAAAAAGGAGAGTAGTGGGGAAAAAAGAACAACTAGGATGACGGAGGATCTTACCTTTTTCTTTTTGCGGGTGAAGTTGTCGATGATGACACCCACGAAGAGGTTAAGTGTAACAAAGGAGCATAGCACAATAAAGGCAACAAAATAAAGGTACATATAAACATTGGCTTCTCTCTCTGGCTGTTCATCAATCTAGATTTAAAAAAAGGAGTCTAACAGATTATTTACTTCCTAGTTCTTTTAAAGATTTGAAGAGTTTGTAATTGTCAGCAAGCGTCATTAGTTTTCTATAATTGGTACATCTCTAAACGTTGATGGAGAAAATTTGTACTCAATACATTATATCTATATCAATATTTTATGAATGTATATCTAAACTTTGTGTGTGTATATCAATAGTTTTACCTCTTTACTGTCTATTGCATCGTTCATTACCTCAATCCAACCTTTATAAGTAGCCTGATTTCAATATAAAATAAGATTCAATAACAACATCATTAAGAGGGAATAATCCAGTTCAATCATTGTGCATTCATTTTTAATATTATTTTTTGAATTGATGTAAATATGACTCAACATTTTTACCACTTGTAATAATGCAAGCAATGATTGTGGAACATCGTCAAAATTAATCCTGGAATTCTCCCATGTGTAGTTCTTGGAAAGGCATTCTGTCTTATTCGCTGTTATAGTAGAGGAGAGTTTGTTTCCATCAGAATCCACGCATTTGAAAAATTTGCCAGAGAAAAGCTGAACCCCGAGAATTCCAAATATTATCCACATAAGAAGACAAACAGTCAACACATTGGCTATTGAAGGGATAGACTTCAGTAGTGTAATTACAACGACCTACAAGGTGAGAATATGTACTGTGAGTGATTAAATTTTATCCCATACTCAAGTTTTGTTTGTTTCTTTTTTTCTGCGAATGGCCTCTAGTGACTTTTGTAACCAAATGCCATTTTTATAACCTTAGAAAGATCAGGAAACTTTCAATATGTAACGAAACATTAAACATTTTCTTTCATTTAAAAAGTAGAATTATGTATCAACTACTTTTGATTTCTAAGCTTTTAAAAGTGATTTTTTTCTAATGTAAAGCGAGCTTCCGTGTCGCAGTAGGTGCTGGCACGAAAAGATCTCTCAATGTTCAAAGGGTGTAAGTGCCAAATACAGGTCTAAATTTGCAGCCCTCCACCGCAAAGTGTTGGCGTCTTCATATGAGTGAAAAATTATCGAAGGGACATTAAACCAACCTACAAACAAACATATATTGACGACTGTGAGACGTCAATACTGCTGTTGCTTTACAGAAGATTGTTTCCTATTTGATTTAGAATCACCAGGTTATAAACTCCTTCGAAGCTTCATATAGAAACACCAAGTTTATAAGATGTTTTATACTGGACCATTTGATCTAGTTTGAGCCAAACAGGTAGCTGGGAACAAGGAAAATAAAAATAATAGGTGAGCTAAGTAAAACTGTTAGAAAAGGACATGAGTAATTAAAAAATTTGTATGACTTACCAAATGCATTTCAGATGAATCAACCATTTTCAAATAAGATATTTACCCTCATGCTTGCAAATCTTGAAATGGCACTCAAAGGGCGGAGAACTCTCAAACTTCTAAGTGCTCGAAATGCATTAAAGCTACCAAGTCCAAATCTTTCCAAGCATAAAACAGCAATGGAAACCTGATAGTTAGAAAATAGTTTTGCATTTTTGTCTATACTGTTTAAGTAATTTAAAAAAATCGTTTGTGTTTAATTCAAACTTAATTGATGTACACACAATGACAATGATGAAATCTATCCAGCACCAGGCATTCTTGAAATACTTCTTAAACCCAAATGCCGTCCATTTCATAAGCATTTCAACGCCAAAAATAACAGTATAAAATATATCCAAAAGTTTAAGAATCCTTGCCAGAAGCGGTCTTTTTTTCAAGTGAATATCTTCTAGTGCCTTTGAAAAAGAGACAAGATATGATTGATAAAAAATATTTATTTACTCAAAAAAATTTTCTTATTACTTGAAGAACGTAAAAATATCAAGAATTTAAAACAAAAAACCATTTTAATGACATACCAGTGCAACACTATTTGATATGATAATCGTGATTATAAAACCTTCAAAATATTTATGGGTGACGATAGTATTTGTCCAGGACCTAAATTTGCGTAACATTCTACCAATTCTAGATTTCTGAAATTCCACGCAACACACGCAGTTGTGCATGAAGATTTGACATTCACAATCCGTTTGAGATTCTATCTCACATCTAATAGCATTCTCACAATCTGCCATTGCTGTATTCGAAGGTTTGGTCAAGGTTTCTATTTCCATATTTTCAGAATGGGTTCTATTTTGGTTTATTTCATTATTAACTCCCTTCAGCTGACATTGCTGCAATTCAATTTCATTCTGATCAATGTCTTTACTTTTTCGTTCTCCGCAAACCTTCCACAAAAATTTCATTCTACTCCAATTTAAAAGCCTGGTGGAAAAGTGAGTATAATTAGGCCATATTCGGGTTGTATTTTTATTTATGCTATAAACGACCACTTAATAAAGAAACATAATCAGTTTCAAATGAATTATCTATTTAAATCCCAAGAAGAAGGATTTTAAAAAGAAAATATCTTACCTCCTAAATCTGTCGATTATTACACGTATATCAAAATCCGTATTTTCTCTGTCATCTTTCTCACTCATTGTTAAACTCTCTGAATCAAATGCATTCAACAACATTGCCAGGAAAAGATTCAGAACCTGAAAGACATTGCTATGTAAATTGTATGTGAATATACCTCAAAATCCTTAGAATTAAGTAAATGAAGTAAGTATATTCTAAGCTAAATTATAATTATCTTCACGGTAGCTCAGTCAGTAGAGCGCTCGGGAGGTCGTGTGTTCGAATCACGGCCACGACCTACCCAAGTCGAAAAAAAAATAGGTAGCAACTGTTCCTTCGCCAAGCGCTCGGCACTTTGAAGTGAAAGTTGCGAGTCATTCGGATGAGAATGAGAAAACCGAGGCCCCCTGTCACGGTAGCCGTTGGCACGATAAAGAATACTCACTGCTCAATGGTCCTGGGTGCCGAGTAAAGGTCTAAATTTGAATCCCTTCACTGGTATATGGTAACATTTCTATATGAGTGAAAAATTACATACAATTAATCAATCAATCAATGAAAGTCCTCGATTAGACCATAAAGTTCATCATCTAATACATTTTTATGATATACCGGATATTTAGACACATACTCTTCAAGTAAGTTCAGCTGACCTATTGAACAAGATATTTTGACAACATAATGTTTTGAGGCTTATGTATGTGCATTCGACTTAAGACATGATCTCCATTGTGTTAGATTAGATAATATCAGGTAAACTTGTTTACAGTGATGGTGTTTCCTTCTAGCAATTGTCTTCATGATGTACCCTCCCAGATCAAGCTATTTTTAAAACAATGAAATCAGTTGCTTTTGTTCCGTTGTTGGACAATTTGAGGATAGTTTTAAAGGCTAAAAGAGTTGAGGTTAATCGATACTTGTTCAGTCGAATTCAATATTACTGAGTATGCCATATAAACGTGTCTTCATTTGATGTTGGAGGATTTCTTTTTACTAAATTTAAGGTCCAAAAACTGAAATTGTTCTAGGTGATAATGAATATACGTAGAGTGAAGATTGCTACACACATGAAGCCAAATTTCGATCTAAATACTGTAAAATCACATATTTTCGTGTGGTCAAATGTTCGTGGTTTGATGAGAAAATATGGGTTTGTGGGGATTAGATTTCGTGGATGAAGAATTGCTGAGTAGTTACGTATATGACATTTTTTATTTCATGGTGGACATGAATTCGTGGGTCTCCTTATACCTTATATATATAATCATGGAAAGATTCGATAATTCTTTGAATGAAAAAAAAAAATGTAGACAAATTGATACCAAATGGGCTATCTAAAAATAAAGAAGCTAGGTGAAGATTGATCTTAGGCCTATTTGAAAGGTGTGTCTAAATGAATGAAATTCATATAAAGCATGAAGATGTTCCTTTGAAATTATGATGTGAATAGCAGTAGCGAAGATTATGCGAAGGGAATTGAACGTAAATTGTGAATCTAAGGTTTAAAAAAATACGTATAAGGAGTTGCATAAAATTTATAGTGTTGGCGATTTTTATGCCCCGTAATCGAAGATTCGGTTGCATATAATTTTAAGGGTTTTTTTAAGCAAAAACTTTAACCTTGCCCATAACTTTTGAATGGTTATTGCTAGGGCTTTCTTATTTCACCTATGTACTCATATTTTTCACTGATATGGAGACATCAACACTTGCCGGTGGATGACTGTAAATTTAGACCTGTACTCAGCACTCAAGGCCATTGAGCATTGAGGAATCTTTTTCGTACCAGCACCTACTATGATACGGGACCTCGGTTTATACTGTCCGAAGGATTGATCTCCACGTCCAGTAGTGAAATTCTAACCGGCGACGCAAGGATCAACTCCTTTCTCCACTCTAACCACGTTACGCTAAATTTGTGCCTCGCTAAAAATTCCACTTATATATATATATATATATATATATATATATATATATATATATATATATATATATATATATATAAAGCACATTTTACAACAACTCTTAAACTAACATAACTGCCCTAAGTGAAGAAATATTAATATAGAAAGCACAAAGAAAATTCACTTTTTATAAGGATACCCACTTCCGCCCCAGCCCGGGGTTGAACTCTCGACCTACGGAATCTGTCTCCTAGCAGTACAGGAACAGCGCGCTAGACCGCTCGGCTATCTAGGCAAATCAAAAAATTTGCTTTCGATGCCGATGGAATTCTCGCGGCGCTGTCCTACACTACACGGTCATTGAGAATGGAAGTGAGATACAGTTATTTGGACATTAGTTTTATCAGAGGATCGTTACCAATACATGTTGTAATGAAATTAATTTTTATTTATAAAGCACATTTTACAACAACTCTTAAACTAACATAACTGCCCTAAGTGAAGAAATATTAATATAGAAAGCACAAAGAAAATTCACTTTTTATAAGGATACCCACTTCCGCCCCAGCCCGGGGTTGAACTCTCGACCTACGGAATCTGTCTCCTAGCAGTACAGGAACAGCGCGCTAGACCGCTCGGCTATCTAGGCAATATATATATATATTTCTTTGTGCTCTCTCTCTCTCTCTCTCTATATATATATATATATATATATATATACTGTAAAAGCGATAATATTCGTTGGGAATTAAATTTATTTTGTTGTTAACAATTATCAAGGAATTTATATCCCGTACGAAATTTTTATATCACATATATATTGAATAGGGTTACTTTCGAAACAACGAAATTAAATGCTCACGAAACCGTTTTAGATGACAAATCAACGAATTTTTATCCCCACGAAAATTTGTGCTTCTACAGTAATTGCATATGATTTTACTTTGTAAATTTTATTTCTTACCACGAGATTTCCTATGAGATAGGTGGATATGAAGAATAGAAGACAGAAAGGTCCCGCTGAAGACCAACACAGCCACATTGACTCTATCCACTCTCCACATAATACGCGGAAAACCACCAAAAAAGAGTGGAAAAAGTCCGTGAAGTTCCATCTCGGCATTCCGTCAGTGTAATACGAGATGTAGTCATCTCGAAACAGATGAAAACCCATTACAGAGAAAGTAAAAACAACAATCATCTGAACAAATAGTAAATAACACAATGAATTCATTGTGTTTGACATGATTCGAAGCAGTTTGTTGAAAGTGTGCCAGGATTTCGCAAGTTTAAAGATGCGCAACTAAGAACAAAAATAAAAAAGTAAATAACAAAAGAGGAAAACTGACAACATCAACAAAGGCATCAAAAAATACAAAACATTGATACACATACCAAGCGGAACGACCGCAGAATGCTGAATCCACTAATATCTTCAAAAACATACTCTAGGAAGCTGCAGATTACCACAATAAAATCAAAACAGTTCCAGCGATTTGTAATGTATTTAAGGGGACCAAGCGCGACAATCTTTAAAAATGCTTCCAAAACAAATATGGACAAAAAAACCTGAAAATGAATTAATCAAAAATGTCGAGTTCTTCCCTTGTTAAAGAAACATTATATATATATATATATATATATATATATATATATATATATATATATATATATGTGTGTGTGTGTGTGTGTGTGTGTGTGTGTGTGTGTGTGTGTGTGTGTGTAATTCAAAATTTCAATAAAAACAAAAACGCATTAGGTGTATATGTAATTTAAAACTTCAGTAAATACAAAAACGCAATCACTTACATAATTTCCATATTTTAAGATGTCCTCTAAATGTTTACTCTTGTTGTGATGGTCAATTGCCATAAAAAGTGTATTCGTAACAATGATGAACATCACAAAGAGGTCCGCAAATGGATCAAGAATCACAAAGGCAATTAAATCTTGAAATTTCCTCAAGAACTGACAATTCCACATGCTACCCAAAGCCTTGGATGAATTATTAACTCCTCTTGAATCATCTGAGAGATACAGAGATACATTGTCATTCATGATAGACAAAATGTTGTATAAAGAACAGTGATAGCTTGATCTCTGTTATATGATTCTATTGAAAAGGTCATTGACAAAATCATACCGTCGTTTTCCCCCTTTTCTTCATTTTCTTCAATATCAGTGACTTCCCTGCTTTGATCTTCCAAATTATTTTTCCTCCCTGCACCTATATTGTTCTGTTCAAAGTTCACAAACATCATTTCACCAGAATGTAGTATATATATATATATATATATATATATATATATATATATATATATATATATATATATATATATATATATATATATATATATATAACCCTTTTCCTGTATCAGCCCGAGACATCAATATCAGCCAGAGAGCTTAAAGCCCGAGGGCTGATACATGATGTTATGGAAAAAGGTATGTTTTATTATGTTCATTACATATTTATTAATATGACATCTACATGAGCAAATACAAGTAGATTATCACTTGGTTATTGTATCAAATTCCAATAATATAATATTACATTTTTTTTCAGAGAGAATGTGAACGAAAAATAGGTGTACTATCAAAAATACTATAATTTAAAGGTCTAATATACAATAGGTGTGATATAACCCTATTTATAACTCTTGTGGACGATGCAGATCCGTATGCGCCCAGAATGCTGATATCGCATATGCAAAAAATTCTATACATATCACTAGGTATGTAATAAATTCTACTATTACGTACATTATTATGCATCGATTGACATAAGTCCTTGCTCATCTTTATGTATTTTCTATTTCATCGCTATTTCTTATACAATCTCATACACCATTAGAGGTGAGTTTTATATGCAATTACCTGTTCGTTTTTGTCATCACTTTCAGCTTCTTCTTCTTGTTCTTGTTTGTCTTTATTAAGCGTGTGAATGAAGGACACGGCCACAATGGCAATTATAAGATTTATTAGGAAAAAGGATCCAAGTATGATAATAAAGAAGAAGAAGAAAAAATGAGGTGTTCCATTTGCCCGTATTGTCTGAAATTACATAAGAAGCGGTAAGTATGTTTATCATCATCTATTTTGAATAATACTTTTACTTGAAATGATTTGCTAAATTGATTTCCTTGAGAAGTCCATTGACCATGGGATCTTAATTTAATATACATATGTATATTGCTAATATATTTTGAAAAAGATTTATCATCAGTCAGCTTGTGCATCGAGACAATATAATGTACACGAGCAACTGATGAACCAAGATTTCATGAATATTAAAACAATATAATGCCTTCTTTGGTTATACATGTGGAGGGATGAACAGTTGCGACATTGCAATGTTAGTACAAGCCGATTATGTAAACATAATCTCTAATGATAGAATCCATTCAGCCCCATATAAACAAAAAATAAACATTTATTATTAAACATATAACATATCATATAAAGTGGGTGTAAGTTCTTAAAATACTAATAATGCATTATCAATCCGTTCGTTGTATTGACGGAAGGGTCATGAAACGGTTGACCATAAAGTCTGCCATGCTGATGACTGATGAAGGTCATATGTAACACCTGAAGAATACAAGAATTTCTTCTTGAATTAATTTTTGTAAACCATGCATTGCTCATCCTCAGACTGTATTGATCTTATGTTTATGTAGCTAAACTGAATTTTACTGATATTTCCCTTTTATTCTATAAGATCCGAGGTTTTAAATTTTGTCATTACATTCTTTCAATATTTGAAGATCTTCTACCTTATCCCCTTTCAGAAGAACTCTTCTAAGTATGAAATTTTATTAGTCATGTAATTGAAACATTTCTGTTTTAAAGGGGAAAAATCCCGAAATCGCCAAGATTATTGCCCGGAAAAAATCTTTTTGCCGAAATTCTTGAATACTCAAGACTATATATATATATATATATATATATATATATATATATATATATATATATATATATATATATATATATATATATATATATATCATTATGAGACAACGTTGTTGCAATACATTTGTGGCCCATTTTACCAGATTGTATAGGTTTTCCCAAAAGTCCTGTGCTATTAATCGAAATGAAGATAAGAGAGCTCCACCAAAATTGTCAAAATGTGTGAAGTTTGAATTAGGATTGCTGTTTGTATCCTTTATACAAAAGAAAGACGATGGACAACTTCTGAAATGAAAAAAAGAAAACAAAAAATGATTATTCTGTTTTCATCAATCTACTGTGCTCTGAACATATCTGGAAACCTAATGAAAAAGGAGAAGATAACGAACAGAGATCCATCTCAAAAAAAAAATGCAAATCTGTGAACAGGGCATAAAACACGGATCCCTGGAAATTCCAGGGTTGGGATTAGGTGCCTAGGAAGAGTAAGCATCCCCCGTCGACAAGTCACACCCGCCATAAACCCTTTGTAATGAACAGGTAGACGGAGTAATCCGTAATTAAATTTAGACCTTTCAAACATTTTTTGTTCAGTATAATTTAAGTTTAAAATACCATACGTTGAAAATCTATAAATGTACCATCACACGAAATCGGCAGATTTGGTTTATTTCCATTTATTTATCCATCCATTTTATTTATTTATTTATTTGTAGAGGACAGAAAAGCAGTTTTATCTCATCTCATGAAACTGTTGATAGATAAAGATTTGGAAAATCAAATATTTGTAAATTACAAAACACGCACTTTGTTTTCTTAAAATGCAGCATATAATTGATTCTTTGAACTGAATGTTAGAGTTTTTTAATTATTATTTTCAACACTGCATAAAAGCTGTATTGTAAGGGACAAATGTTTTAAGTCTTTTTTCCTGTTACTTATATTATGCTTGAGATATTTTTGTTATTTTTTTTATTTCATATTTCCAAAAAATAAATCGTTTCTCCTTTCACTCTCAAGTACTTATTTTCCCGGAAAAAATCTTCACGCTTGTTTGTTAATTATTGTCAATTAAATATTCAATGTTTTCAATACATATATTAAACATACAAGTTAAACTTTATGATATACTATCAAGTCGGCGAACCATGACCAGTTTTCAACCAGACAGATACCATATAACGGGTATTTTCTATGGTTGCAAATTTCTGTGTTTGCTCTCAGAAAGGTAGCAAATTAATTTCTGTGATTGCGCTATACCTTAAAAAGTTCATTTAAGAGAAAGACTACAGGGTATTAAATTTGGCAAAACACTGCAACGTTTAACGCTTTAAGATTGATATGACTCTGTTCAGGATAAATCAGAACTGATATAGAAATCTGCTGCGCTTCTCTCTTTCAATTATATTTGTTTATTGTTTTCAAATAACATTTATTTCATATCCTGGAAAGTAAATTTTTCCATTACACAGTTATCAGTTATGAATTTAAGGGTTAAAAATAAGGCGAGAAACTGCCTTGACATACGCATCACTTTTGAGTGTTTGTGCAAAAGTATCTTGATATTTAAAGAATATTTTGCGCTTGTATTTTTTGTAGATTTGCTCTATCCGCAAAATAGCTTAAAAAATTGGACAACCGCAGAATATATCCGTTATACGGTATTTATGATAAAATATGAAGATAACGAGAGTTATTATTATGTAAAAATTAAGAGCAAAGGAAACAAGAACTCCTGAAAACGTCAGAGGTGGGATCAGGTGCAATGGAGTGAGTATAACATTTCGACCTAATGACTAGTTGTATTTGCAAACAAGGTCATTGTATCGACTATAGAATTTGTGAATTGTTGACCTTAAACGAAATAATTGACATTTTTGTAATTTCAACTTATTTCTCCGTAGCCTGCATCGGTTTTGAAATTGTTCATACGCAGAATATGCTTTTGCAAATCGTATTCACTGGGATACATAAGCACCATATGCAGGTGACAATGGTATATTGCTACATAAATAAGAGAAGTTGACGATAGAATAGTTGAAGTTATCACGTTTATCATAAATTTTAGTTATTACCTAAAGTTGATATATCGCACTTAATCAATAAAATCCACACCACAGGAGAATAAAACTATTTTTTTTAGCTATGTTTATAAAGCCTATGATCGAATCATACCCCGCTCCGGTTCCATTCCCGCACATTAGTGGCTGACCAGACTTCGTATGATACCAGTTATCTGTTTCAAAAAGAAAGTATATATGCGAAAGTTAAAATGTGTTATTTGTTCAGTAAAACAAATACCTCCTTCGTATATCCTACCATAAACTATTTTTTTTTACACCCAGTACTTAAAATACTAGGGGCAATTACCTAGAATTAACAAATATTAATATATATATATATATATATATATATATATATATATATATATATATATATATATATATATATATATATATATATATATATATATATATATATATATATATATAAGGCATTACTATTTATAACACGTGCCTTTTGTACAATTTATTTTAGTGTTGCTTAACCTCAAATGGAAATACCTGTGTTCTGTACATGTTGAAACCATTTGTTTTCTAATTCTGAATGATTGAAGGAAACATTAAAGTTTTCGATGGTAATACATTTGTGTCTCAATGTGCCCATGTAGAGTTGAGTTCCAACAATTGCAAATATTGAAATCATGAGAACTGCTAAAACGATTACGTCACGAAGTCGGCGAATTGCGTCCAGTAATGCACCAGCAACTGTCCGTAAGGCTAAATATTTAAAGAAAGTGCTTTAATTCAACACAAAATAAATATCTTGAGCAAAAAATGAAATTTGATATAATGTGGTAAGTATTTTTAATTTATTTAAAATAAATACTATAAAATTTGCTTCATCTTAATCCATAACCTTAATCACAAATTTATAGATTAAGAATTTGTTTTAAAGTTCCAGTTATATGATATGTAATATCAAGATTTATCTAGAAGATACAAGAACCGGTGTCTTTAAACGTTTCTCAAGTCCACAATATATTCTCACTTTAGTTAATTTAACACATATTAGCATATAAATATATTCAAACTTAAACCGTTCGTCAGAATTTGTTCAAACTTTTTAGTTTGCTACCCTCAGCATAAGAGTCAATTATGATTTTAATTAAAGGTCATATCAGAAAAAAGGTCCTAGCCAATGACATAGTGTCCATGAAGTCTAAAACTCAGGAATCCTTGATTAGAGTTTAATCAAACTTGAGTATGCTATTGCCTAGAACACAGGGATATGTCAAAGAGCTACACACAAGACCATATCTGAAAGGTCAATGTTATTTTGTTTAAGTCAAAGTCATTGCCAGAGGCAATTCGGAAAGGAAGAGACATCTTTTTGTGAAAAAAAAAATCAGTTTTTGTTTTAATCATAACATATGATTTAAAACTTACCTTGTATATATACAAAGGCCTTAAGAATACGAAGTACTCTGAAAGTCCTCATTGCAGATATACTGCCCAGTTGAAACCACAAAGATAAATATCTATTGAAAGAGTAATTAACCGATAATTAACTATATTTTCACAAACATTCATAACATTATACTTGTACTTCAAATCGTAAAGTTTCCTTGAATTTTTTTTTTTGGAAAATAAACATCGTGACAGTCCAAAACAATTTCAGTAGGAGAAACAATCTTATATATATTATCTGCATTACTATGACCTTCATTATAAATGGCCGAAATTGAGACTAACAAGATGTTTTAATGGATTAAAAAGAGAGACATTATGCATGTTTTTTAATTACTTACGCACAGATCAGGATGACAAGATCTAACCAGTTCCAGGGATCTCTCAGGTAAGTAAAACGATTAAAAATCAGTCCCCTGCACAAGACTTTTATCAGACCTTCCACGGTGTAGCAAACGATAAAAATGTATCTACACGCAGAAGTAATATAGTAATTAAATATATTTGTTAGTGTACATAATAACATGTATTTTGCAAATTTTTGAATAGTAAGTATGGTACCAAAATGTATGGGTATCAGCTTGTGTGAATTCAAGTTTGTTTTTTTTCTCTTTCTTTATAACCTTCTGCAAACTTTTAATGAATGGATCTTTAAAATAGTTCTTGTAGAAAATGATTTCAGCATTGAATGAGCAATATATGTTCTTAATTATTTTATATGATGTATACATTCAGAGAAAATATATAAATCGCTTTTATTTGCAAATAAGACACTTTAGAGTCTAAACAAATGCTGTTAATTAATAATATAAATATCTAATAAAACATGACCAAAAGTCTGATAGACATTTTTTAAATAAACATTTATTTATATATAAAAAAAAGACAGTGTTTGTCAACATTTTTAAATCCATGGATAAGATATTAAATCAAAATCACTTGTAGGAAAGAAAAAGTAGATGATCTTTTTTCTTAAATAAATTGAAATGATATTGCAAAATTTAAGAAAACTAGTTATTTTCAATTTCGACCATCCCAATACAGATGCTTTAATTTAAAGATCAATTAAATAGTATTTAGGCGTACCTCCTTAAAATATTTTCTTAGCTGGGGGAAGTGATTTTTCCGTTGCACATACATATACTGTGCAAATTTCAAAGAAAATTTTATCGATTTCCAAATCAGCTCACATATTCTACTTTTATGTATAGAGGAAAGAGGTGCAGTTAGTTTTAGATATGTGATTTTTGTGTTGTTTTATTGCTTTAAAAGTTTATTAAATCATCCGAGCAATAAATTACTTCCGCGATTTGTAAAGTTATCGATTTCCTTTCTAGGACAAAATCAAAAAAAAAAAGAAAGGAAAAAAAAGAAAAAAAAGAAACTGACAGATACCAAACAGTTCACATATTTCCTCTTTTGAAATATGACTTACTCAATCCAGAATACCGGGTATTCGATCATTGCCATGAAAATGCAATTAATGAGTATTGTCATGGTTATAAACAGATTGAATAACTTAAGAATGATAAGGAAACACTCAGATTGAACATTGGTAATATCAACATCATTATTATGTAATCATCAATAAAATTATTTTTTAATTCAAAACAGGACGAGGATTTTTTAAAGATATTGTTCACTTTGTAAAGGATATGGATGGACAAGAATGAACAGAGCGACCCTCCGAAGCGGGTGGAAGGGGCTGATCAAATAGAAAACGTCAGCGGTGCTGAATCTATAGATGTAGAGATCCTTTCCGATCACCACAAACGTCTACAGGAGGGAGAAAATGGTGACAATTATAATTAAAAAAAATTCTTCTTCAATTACTAAAATATTGATAATAATCCATGCATGAACAAAATATTTAGGCATTATACGATTAATCATAGAAATTAATAATATACTAGTAAGATTTTTTAAAAAAAAATTTTATTATTCGTATTTTATCTTTGCATATTGTCTTAGAGTGTTTTACTTTTTTAATATATAATGTTTCTCTGTTAATAACTTCCAAATTAATCACTCACATTTTGATCTTTGTAAAACTCATCGATATCTTCCAAAGGTTTTCCGTGATAATTTACTGGAAACTTTTTTCTGAGCAAAAAGGGCAACCTTTTACCCTCTTTCAATCGGCAATTTGGCACTGGTTTCGCATTTGTTTTGGAAGTCAGACTCTTTTTCTCTTCTCTATGAACTTCTGCAGGAATCTCCCTTTCTGTGAGATCATTTCTTACGCTTGAATTTGGCCTGAGAAGGCAAAAGGTAGTCTGTGCCATGTCTTCCATTTTCCCTATCCTGGTTTGTTTTAATATTCAGGGAATATATGTGAAATATCTCCGTAACTTAACTTTGAAAAAAAATTTCAATTGAAAGTTGTGATCTGCACTAAAACAACAATGTTCTTTATCTTACTCTGAAAAGATTAAAAGATAATGCGATATCTTGTGATTAAAAGTTGCTTGTTATTTTTACGATTTATAAATATAAGTAAATAGATAGAAAGTAGTCTGAAGCAGAAAAATAATTTAAGAAGATCTAAAATCATTAGATATGATAATTTTACCTGATAATTGCACCGTAAATTCTGAAGAGACGGATAACGAACTTGCATGTATACAAAGTAAATGTAAAAATGATATCTAAGAATGGAGGAAATGAGGAGTGATTATATAACTGTTTCATATTTGCCTTATAAATTACTCTTAGGAATTCCCATTATTAGATGTTTCCGTGTCTTTTATAGGGATTTACTTAAAGTGAATTATGAAATTTCTAATTAGAATAATTTGCCGGAAAACATCCGAGAAAGAGGAGTAAAAAGCATTATTCTATAATATTTTTTGTAGTGCTTTTGTTATAAGGTAATATCTTACTAGTTAGGATGTTCGAAGTTTTGTTTCTCAGGCATTTTTAGTTTAAAATAAAGTGACTTCTCAATCCTCTTTCAATTTATTGGATATCACATCCACGGTTGTTCAGGTCCCCTGATTTGATAAAGTATTTACTATGCCATTATGAATTTACACAGCCAGTTCTAATAATGAAAAAGATGGATTTTTTTTTGGGGGGGGGGGGGAGCTTAAGATGACATTGTTTCTTTCAATGTTATCTTTGTTTATCGCTCGTGATTTTGATTTCTGAGAATACACCTATTTTAGATTAAACAGACCTGCGACGAACCTTGATAGCAAAGAAAATGTCTGTCAAGAAAGTGTTTCTAGGTAGACGCTAGATCCATTAAAAAAAACCTGCTGATCTCTTGTTAAAAGAAACTCAAGTTTGAAGGCTATGACTCGACATTTAACTTTATCAAAAATGCAATTTTCAAAACGAGTAAACATCTTATCAAAATACAAAAAGATTTAATTCGTAACAGTCCCAATTTTACACATTAATACAGCTATAAACAAATTATTCTATATAGAAACATTGAATCAAACAGACACTTATGTTTTTGCATTACATTAAATAATGCTTAAGGCTTAATTGAAGTTTTTGACCAGTCTTTTGCCTGTCGGTCCGTCATCCTGCAGTCTGTTGCCTGAAAACTTCACAATTTTATTTTGAAAACTTCACAATTTTATTTATTATACCCCCTATTTTATGTATTTTTTATGACTTATTATGAGTTTTTAAAATCTTAGAAAAGCACAACATACAATTTTCGTTTGAAGGCACAAAAGAGGCCAAATATTCATATTTTAGTGTCTAGGAAAACTAATTAAAATATTCCTCTCCAGAATAGAAGTGCAACAATGAGGCATATTGATATTACAATCATTCCAGAGTAGGTAACATTCAATTTTGTTTCAAGTCTGTTTCTTCCTGATGATTCTCATGAATCAAGTATCGAATAATTATCTTTTAAGTTAATCTTTCAATCAGAAACTATATTACATCTTATTTGTTATTGATTGTTTTCTTTAATTAAGATAAACACAAATAAATATTTTTATCACAACATTTTATTATTTATAATATTTTATTTTGCTTATAACAGTACAAAATTTATTTAGCTTTATAATTCATGCACTACATACATGTATCGAGTAAAAAATACATAAGTTATTTCTAAAGAAAAACACAGCCACAATGTTACAATTATTCGTCTAGATATTTGTAATTTATTTAAATTGATTAACACGCACCGTGGTGTAGTACAGAGACGTGTCCTATGGAACTAGTTTCTAAAGAACAACAGAATCCTTATCAGTCAATTGTCTATAATCGTTTGGGTATTGATTAGAACAATTCTTTTTAAATACAGAATTATACTGACATTCAAGAAAATTTTGTGATGTTTAAACAAGAGCCTCTATATACTGTAAATTCATAGTATTAGAATCATGGACTTTAAAGACCTGACCACATATCCATTTGTCAGGAAGTGAATGGTGACTCAGGCAAGCGTTGTGACCCATAGTTATTTTGTTTATTAACGATTAAATATGAACTTTCTTTTTTTCAAATTTTCTAAATAAATTTATTTACAATTACATAATAATTTTCATTTTAAAAAAATCTAAATAAATGGACCAGTCATGGTAGCCTAGTGATAGGGCGTTCGCTTCCTGATCGCGAGGCTCGGGTTCGATTCTCGTTCGCCTCACCGAGTCAAATCTAAGACGTAAACATGGGAAGTGACTGGTTCTTTCGCCAACCGCCCGGCATTAGAGGTAAAAGTCATGGGTCTTTCGAGTAAGACCTTAAAAAAGAGGTCCGGCGTTACCGTAGGCGCTGGCAGATAAAGAACCCTCACTGCTCAATGACTCGAATCAATGCCGAGTAAAGGCCTAATATTGAAACCCTTCACGGTGACGTCTCTATATGAGTGGAAAAAATTTCAAAAAGGGCGTTAAACAATATTCAAGCGATCAATCTAGATAAATGTAAATGTAATTAAAGAGGTAAATACTAATGACGAACTTTGCACGTAAGGAAAGTGTTTCTTATTTTGTAATTATAGTCCATTATTGACAACCATTGGTGGACATTATGTCTTTTTTGGATAGATGCTGTTTTCTTTCTCTCTAAAAAAAAATTGTATTCAATGCATATGTCTGTCGTCTTCAGATCTTACGAAGGCGAGTATATTCTAGATCATTTATGAGGCCTATTTAGTTTGCGTAGTTTCTTTATAAGAGTTCCTAAGAACAGAAACTATGCGAACAACTCAATCTTTAATCAAGATAAGTAAGGAAGCGTACACTGCAATTTCGTATACTGAATAACATAGAAAATAGGGGAATAACATAATTCGAATTCATTGGACCATTGAAGGTCTTTCGGTACATAAAGTCAAGCTGACTTGTAGAAAGCATATTGTAAAAATGTATTCTTGAATATGTTCTAAGAGCTTATGACGTATATGAAAAAGATTTTTATGTGAAAAGGGCCACATAATACACATATGTGGATGGTAAATTTGAAACATCATACATTAATACAATCTGAATGTATATTTACTTTGTTCTTGATTACGATTCCAGACATCATTTTAAAAATTTATATTTCTTGTTGACCATATCAGAAATTGAGGAAAAGAAAATGGATTTTTTTAAATACACTGTATATAAATTCGGAAGAGAGATCCGGTTAATGATAAATAGTAAAATCTTAACTTGAGAAAAAATTCGTATTATTTTATTGACAATGAGCGCACCCAAACCTTTTACATATTTTGGTATGACTAATTTATATACGAAATATGGAGATAACGAACAGTAATAAATCTCCAAAGTCCATTGAGACAATTAAAATCGGGAGCAGAGCAAACACTGATCTCTAAAAGCATCAGAGGTGGGATCAGGTGACATGGAGAAGTAAGCATCCCCTGACGACCGGTCACATCCGCCGTGTGCTCCTTGTCATGATCGGGCAACAGAAAAATCAGTAGACAATTCAGTGCGTAAATAATGACCTAACAATTAACTTACGAAAAACGGTGACTTAATGATAGATTGTATTTGCTGACAAGGTCATTGTATCGACCAAGAACTTGCAAAATGTTGATTTCAAACGAGACTGTTAATATCCTTGTTTAATCAACTGGTTGACAATAGCTTACCGCGTTTTAAAAATTGTTCGTTCGTAGAGCTATTTCTTGCGTATCGAATCAACTGAGAGACATAAACTCTATAAGCAGGTGATAAGGGTATATTGCTAAATAAAAAAGGGAAGTTGACGATACAAAAGTTAGTCATCACGTTTATCATAATATTTTGGTGTTAGGTTACCATTAACGTCTTTTTCTAGTAAAATATCCAAATATGAAGCAGATTCGCCAGACTCTGTAATACCTTTATTTCAAGTTCCCTGGGATATATCGAGTAGAAATATAAATAGAAGTAACTGTTGTTAATTGATAATACGTCGTCGATATATCTTAATGTCGAGTTGAAGGCCACATTTGCGTTTTCTTCCCTTAATGTTTAAGTTTTGACTAAAGTCTGCTTCATATAATGGGTAGCGATTGATACCCATGGAAACTTCGACAGATTGTTG